CGGGTGGCCGTCCCTCCTGCAGGACTGGCTGAGGAGAAGATAGCAAATCTCAATTACAACAATAAAGCAGTCGATGATAATCAAAGTAAACATGGAGGTGTGGAATTTTTTCGATTTTAGGAATTTCCCTGTCCTCTCTTTGAGCGATAGTTTCTCCTGCGAACCATTTTCGAGGTCATCGTCCGGCAGGCGTATGACACCGGTCTGTGAGTCGGAATCTTGATTTTCCATGGGTATAGTACGTATAGATACAACAGTATACGTTGGAAGTTAGTGAGCCGCTCCGCTGGCAGGACGCAACGCGGTGAATGGCAGAGTTGTGAACAGTGGAAGCAACTAAGCGCCTTCGTCAACCTGATTATTACTAGACATATACAGTGACTCTTGTTAGTATAAAAATGCTATTCTTTTAATTAGAAAACCCTTGTAAAGCAATATTAAGTGCGCAAGCACCGACCTGCGTACCCTGCACCTTCATTCGTCTGCACAATAAGCGATCCATTCGGCAATCTCTACGCCTAACAACATCTCGTCTGGAATTCTGATTGCAAAAATTTGGAGATATAATTTTAGTAGCAAATGACGACGGTGAGTTCCATCGCCTATGGATTCTGAAATGAATGCCAGTCCTTGCTTAGTTGACCCTTTATAGCACTTGCCCCGGTCCACTAACATTATCCCGAATATCTCGTATGTAACGTAACGCTCACAGAACTTTACAAGTGTACTGATGGCCATTTGAGTCTTATCAGGTCTTGCGATTCGTTCTCGAAGGCGTAGTTTCGCAATAGTTGAGGGAACTGGTCCCCCACACACCGATCACGATGCCACATGGTGATCGGACTGGGCGGTAAAGCTCTTTCCTCAACCATATCGCTATCATTATTTTCTTTTTTTCTGTAATATTCAATGTCCAACAGTATCAACGCTGTAACCTCGACAGTCTCCTCATGTTCGTCTATTGTCAGAGAGGCCCAAGGCATGGTAGTCGTACCAAAAAATAGGTCTCCTAATCCGCCTTCTACCGCTGAGTGTGATGTGGGCATCGATATGACTACTGAGAGGACGAGTTCCTGTGCAGGTAGGGAGGTTGAAGACATGGTAGAAGCTTTCTCCTTCATTGCCTCCTTCCGATCCTCTCTGCGCCGTTTCCGCGCCGATGAGCTACGGCTCACCAAATACAGATGCGCAAGCTGAGAATCAATTGTCAAAGCCGAGAGGGCAGGACATACTCCCTGCCGAGTGTGGTTGGTCTTGAGACCTTCAAGGTTCCTAATTCGGGTAGACAATGGCTTTAGGGCTTAGTCAGAAGAGAAATCAATGTTTAATTCCTCAACGGCACTTGCCTTCATCGCCGAGCTCGAAC